AGAAATCAATCTGTTCAGGGGATGTGAGCTGGGCTGGCTGGCAAGGCCAGTATTTACCCCCCATCTAGCATTGCCCAGAGAGAATATCGAGTCATCAGATCTGAAAGGATGGACTAGCAGACTCGGAGAAGAGGGGCTGAGTAGCCTGCTGCTGCTCCTCAAGGGCGTGTGGGCGTCCAATGGAGGAGCAGAGGTTGGCGCTGCAGTGACTCTCCAAGACGGCGGGCGGCGTTGTGGTGGGAGCACCAGTTGGCTTGGGAGCGGTGGAGTTACAGTGGTTTTACCGCGCGAAGACCTAAGAACATTGGCGGGGGGGTGGCGCTGCAGTTTTGCTTCCAAGCCATCGGCGGCGCTGTAATAGGAGGACCGTTCGGGTTGAGAGGCTGGTGGCGTTGAAGTAGCGCTCCCAGGCGGCCGGGACGCTGCGGCGGGCGGACCAGTTGATTTGAGGGGTTGCGGTAGCGATGCAGTGGCGCTCCCATGCTGCCGGCGGCGCTGCCTTGGGAGGAGTGGGGAGATGGAGCGGTGCGCTCTTGTTGCCACGTCACAGTTGGAGGGAGGGCGCGCGGGGGTTGTCCGGGTGACCGAGCCGGTGAGTGCAGGTGGAGGGTGGCGGGGGAACCGGTAGGATGGGGGGGAGTTGCTGCTCCAGGCAGCAGGAGCCTAACCACTCCCTGTATTAATTAATACCCATGAAAAACCGAGACTAAAACCCTTTGGGTTGTCAAAGGAAGCGGGGAATTGAACGGTCCCCATCACCTGCTCCTCACACCTGGGTTTGAGAATGTGGCTGGGGGCGGGTGTGGGATAGGCAAGGGGAGGCATAACTCGTTATTCCCTCCCTATGTACTCAATTTACCCACATTGGGCACACCATCGTATTTTCTACTTGTTTCTACCCGCGTCTTTTTTGTTTAATCTCTTCTCGCTGCTTCCCACAGCAGGGTGGGCTATCACAGACGCGATGGGACGAATGGCCCCCTGCCTGAAGTCTGGTTGCAGTCTGCAGGGCTGTGAAGGGTGACCAATTCTGTCTTGCGACATGCCACCTCTACCCTCTGTGACCTTCACAGCACTCAGGGGAACATCCCCATCAGGAGGAGACCACTCGGCCCCTCCATCCTGCTCTGCCACTCAGTGAGATCATGGCTGGATGATTACCCCACATTTCCGCTTCCCCCACCCCATCATTCACCGATAATCTGCCTCCCTTTAAAAAAAAAATGCACAGGGGGACTTGTGGCGGCTGCTCTGTTTCAGAGGCTGGCTGGGTACCTAGAGCTCCTGACAGGGAGATTTCCACCTTTTGTTTTCAATTGCCCCCCAGAATGAAGTGAATGCTGGACCTGAGACGGGAGCGTAGCCAGTCAAAAAGCGGTCTTGTTTGCAGTCAATCCTGCCTTCAACTTTCATGATATTTTGGAAGCAGCCTCGGTGCCAGCTGATGTTGCAACTTTGACAGGAGAGGCAGCGATTACTGAAAAGGTGTAGCTGTACAATGAGGGTGGAGGGGCTTGGGATGGGTTGCCGAAGGGGGGCTGGCACCAGAGGGCTTTTTTCACTGGCAGGAGGATTGGCATCTGGAGCAGCCAAAAGAATGAATGGGATCATGAGCGATGTTGTCATGCGTTGGAATGCAATAACTCAAAAAGACAATAGAAACAGGTTCAACATCAGATTTCCAAAGGGCTATGTGAAGGATGATTGGGCATGGGAAGAACACCAGCAGGAAGGAATTGGGCAAGATTCTGGAAGAGTGCGCAGCTCTTTTCTCAACGTTCAGACACGGAACAAGAGTCAGCCCCTTAAGCCTGCTCCACCATTCAATAAGATCACACCTGATCAGATTTTGGCATCATCTCTACATTCCTGCACATCCTCAATAATCTTTCACTCCCTTGGCAATCAAAACAGTGCCTTAAAAATATTTAAAGATTCTGCATCCACTGCCTTTTGAGGAAGGGAATTGCAAAACACCCCTTAGCCCTCGCAGAGGGGGGAAAAAAAAACTTCTGCCTGCAATGGGTGACCCTGTATATTTAAACTATGACCCCGAATTCTCGATTCTCCCACAAGGGGAATCCTCCTCTCCACATCCACCTAGTCAAGTCCCCTCAAGATGTTGTATGCTTCATTGCAGTCAAGTCTGACTGTTCAGAACTCCAGGGGATATAGGCCTAGCCTGTCTAATCTTTCCGCAAGAGGCAATCTCTTATTCCAGGTATGAGTCTGGAAAACCTCTGACTTGCCTCCACAACATTAACATGGGTGTGTAAATACGGTGACCTGCACTGGACGCAGGACTCCAGATGTAGTCTCACCTGTGCCCTGTGCAACTGAAGCCTGACCTGCCGACTGTTGCATAAAACATAATATTCTATCAGCTTTCCTGATTACTTGTACCTGCACACGAGCCTACTTTGATATGGAACTGCAAGGATAGAGTGTGCATTTGTATTGACTGCTGAGTCTGTGTTTGAATTGTTGTGGAGGGGCAATTCCAGGTTCTTGACGCACCAGCACCTGAGATACGTGCGCGGTTCATTGCGTGCTGATGTTCCTATTCTCCAGTCATCGCAATGCTCCTCATTCTGTGAAATAAACTGCTGCAAGATTCTTCTGCACAGGGCTTAAAAGGCCAGCTTGTTTGGATATGTTCGGATGTTATGCTTCAGTCATACAGGACCTTGGTGAGACTACAGTTTCAGTCCTGTTATTTAAGGATTGATGAAAATATATTGGATGTGGTTCAGAGGTCGTTCACCCCATGAATACCAGGAACGAATGGGTTGTCTTACGGTGAAAGGATGGACAAGCTGGGCTTGTTTCCACTGAAGGTCAGAAGAGTGAAGGGCGACCTGTTGCTGTAATCCTGAATGGTCTTCACGAGATAAATGTGGAAAAGATGTTTCTCCTTTTGGGTGAGTGCAGAATGAGTGGGTGCTCTTTAAAAATTTGGGATTGCCCCTTTTGCACAGTCAAGGAGAATTTTGCTCTCCCAGCGGGCTATGTGTGTTTGGAACTCTGCCTCAGAAGGTGGTGGGGACAGTTTGATTGATATCATTTAAGATAGAAGAGGGATAGGTTCTTGTGAGGCAGGTGAATGAAGCAGATTTGGAGGGTATACAGGAATGTGAAGTTTGGATCACAAACAGATCAGCAATGGTCTCATTGAATGGTGGAGGGGCTGAATGGTTTACATTCATTTGTCATTCATATCCATCTAGCGCAGTGGGGCATAAGAGTTTTCCCTAGGATGGAGGATTTCAAGATTAGGAGGCACATTTTTAAGGTGAGGGGAGAGAGATCGAAAAAACATGTGAGGGGCGAGTTTTTTTACACAATGTGTGGTTCGCGTGTGGAATAAACTTCCTGAGGAAGTGTTGGATATGGGTGCAATGACAACATTATAAAGACATTTGGATAGGTACATGAATAGGAAAGGTTTGGAGGCTAATGGGCTGGGAGCAGGCAGGTGGGACTAGTTTAGTTTGGGATTATGGTCAGCATGGACTGGTTGGACCGAAGGGTCTGTTTCCATGCTGTATGGCTGTATGAGCTTCACAGGATTTCTCAGCTGTTCAGAGAGAAATGTCCAGAAACAATACAAAGTTGGGTGTGAATCCAGAATCTGGAGTGGGAGGCTTTTGATAAAGCTGATACTGACAGGGTGTTTCCCTGTGTTGGGGGGAATTGAGAGCAAGGGGAGATGGTAACAAATTAGGAGTCTCCCTTCAGAATGGAGCAGTGGAGCAATTTCTTCTCTGGATGGTCGTTAATGATTGGAATTCTCTGCTGATGTGTTTCACCCGCTTCCTTACCAGTACCTGTTCGTGAATGACACTGCAAAATCAGCTTGTATCCGTCTGTATCCTCCTGTAACCTAAATCCTTCCTCCTCACTTTGTGTCACACGTGTACTTACTGTATAGTTCCCCCAGCTACCATTTTCTTGTCTTTCGTTCATATATAATCAACAAACAACAGGGGACCCAGCACTGATCCTTGCGGAATGCCAGTGGCGTCCAGTCAAAACAGCCTTTTGCCACCACCCTCTGTCTGCTACCGCTCAGCTGGTTTTGGATTCACCTTGCCAAGTTGCCCTGGATCCCGTGTGCTTTTGCCTTACAGGATTACTCTTGTCTTTCCAAGCAGGTCAGCACTGAAACATCAGGCAGCAGGAAGCTCGGGTCACCATGCGGAAGAATGTCGTGGTAAACTTAGTCTGTGAGGTGGCACTAAGATTACTCCTGTTTGCAATATTCCTGTAAGTGTCTCAGCTTTCTGTCAGTACTCTGTCTGTGGTAGAGTTACCTCCCTCACTGTTATCTCCCACCTGATCCATCACTCCCAACAAGTTTCCTGCCGTTGCTGCACCCCCATTTTGAAAACAAAATTTAAGCGAAAACCGTGGCTGGGACTAATCTTGACAGTGTGTTGAGAAGCTGCCGCAGAAGATACAGGAGCAGAGTTGGGCCATTTGGCCCATCAAGTCTGCTTCACCATTCCATCATGGCTGATTTGTTTCCCAACCTCGTTGTCCTGCCTTCTCCCCGTAACCCTTGATCCCCTTACCAATCAGGAACCTATCTCTGTCTTAAGTACACTCAATGACTTGGCCTCCACAGCCCTCCGCAGCATGAGTTCCTCAGAGTCACCACCCTCTGGCAGAAGAAATTCCCCCTCTCCTCAGTTCGAAAGGGTTGTCCCTTCGCTCTGAGGCTGTGCGCTCGTGTCCTGATCTCTCCCACTGGTGGAAACATCTCCGCATCCACTCTATCCAGGCCTCTCAGTATTCTCTGAGTTTCAAAGAGATCCCCGCCCCCTCATCCCTCTAAACTTCATCGAGAACAGACCCAGAGTTCTCACCCGCTCCTGACGTGACAGGTCCTTTCTTCCCGGGATTGTTCTTGTAAGCCTCCTGTGGACTCACTCCAAGCCCGACATCGCCTTCCTCAGATACAGGACCCGAAAGTGCTTATGAGCCAGGTTGGAGGTTTATGAACTGAGGAAATTGCTGTGGTCTGAGGGTGTGGGATGTTGACAGGAGACACAGCTGGAGCACCACAGGAGGGTGTTCCCAAACCGATGGAATATGCTGGGGGAGCGGGAGTGGAGGCAGGATTACCAGGGTCTTGTGGCTGTGAGGACCCTGCTTGAATGAGCCTGTGACCACGGTGGGGAGTCTGAGGGGACAAGAATCCCAGCTGTGCTGAGTTTGGAAGCTGCTGGGGCTAGGACTGGGTGGGTGAAGGTGGGGGGGGTTTTCATTCACGGGATGTGGGTGTCAGTGGCTAGCGTTTATTGACCATCTCTGTTCCCTCCTCCTCCGAGGGCAGGCCAGAGTCAACCACATTGCTGTGGGTCTGGAGTCACATGCTGGCCAGACCAGGTAAGGATGGCACTTTCCTTCCCTAAAGGCTGTCTGTGAACCAGATGGGTTTTCCCAACAGTTGCCAGTGGTCATTGAGCCAGGTTTCATTGGATTCAAGTTGGGATTGTCCCCAAACCCATATCTCCAGGACATTGACCACAACCTGACCACCTCCACTTGGAGATCCCAAGGTCCTGATGGGCTAGAGGATGAGTTGCGCTCTGGGAAGAGTGACTGAGTGAAGGTTTCTCGTGTCTCTGTGCTGTTTGCATTCTGCAGGATTACCGAGACGATGACTCCATTCCACCGGATTATCCACCCGGAGGAAATGTGGCTGTACAAGAATCCCCGGAGTGAGCGGGATACTGTTCCCACCTGGCACATGTTTGTAAGTGGAAAAAATACTGTGGTGCCCTTCAGCAAGTCAGGGACTGTTGTGTCTCGATGCTGAGCGATTTCCTCGGTTCAAACCGCGCGGGGGAAAGGGCAAAATTGTGGTCGTGAACTCTGCTCCATTGTCATTTCTTTGGCTGTAGATGTCCAGCTCTTTCAGGCCCTTCCTGAATGCACTTCACCCTGTGCTGTTCCAACCCTCTTCCTCAGGCTGTCAACTCTGCTGGGGTCTGGATCTGGGATGTGAAACACGTCCATGGGAATGCAAAGTGTTGTGACTGTGTATTTTGTTTGGAAAATCATTCCAGTCAAAGCCCCTGGATAGAGGAGGCACTGGGACCTGGATGGATTATTCTGTCTGGCCTAAAAGCCTCTGAAGGTTCTTGTCATGTCTGCCGCACCCTGGCTAACAAACGCTGACTCAGCATTATTTGCTGAGGAGCTGTCTCTTCATACTCTTGGTCATTCTCGCTGCTTGGATTCCTGTCCCGGCTGAGTCAGAGAAGTCTCAGACAAGAAGTGGAGCCTATTTCCCCAGAGCAGAAAATAACATTGACTGTCCTCTATTTATCTCTCTCTCTCTCTCCCCTGCCCCGGCCCTCTCTGTCTCCACCAGGCCATTTCCTTCCTGACTCCATTGATGGTGATTCTCCTGATGAAGGTGCTGAATCAATCAGAAAACGGAGATGTGAAGGAAGGCTGTTTGGGTGAGTGATGTCCATCCGTTCAGTCTCAATGTGAAGCCAGTGCCCAATGGAAGAATGTTCTGTCTGGAACCAAGAGGGAGAGCCTTTCTAATGCCTCCGGAACATTGCAGAAGGGCTGTCCACCCTCCCGTGTGATATGTTATCGTTAAACTGTGATCACCTTTGTTGTGTGGATGAATGCATGGCAAGATCCCACGCAAGTGGCCGTGCTGAGGAGTTTGTCTGATTTTTAATAGGTGCTGGTTGAGGGGTGGGCGTCTGGTGCTGGGATAAACTGAGTGGGGGCTGACCTGAAAGAGCTCCCTGCAGAGACAGGAGAAGTATTCTACACCCAAACCACTGATCCCTCGGGAGTCAAATCGATACTTAGGCCTGCAGTCACCATTGTTCGCAAGTTGAGATCCAGTTTCCCGTTCGGAGATTGAATGTTCCTCTGTATCTGTGATGTACTCACTGAGCAGTGACTCTGTGTAATCCACCCCTCTCTTCTGATGGTCACCTCATTGTTGTCTTTCCCCTTGCAGCTGCTTCTCTGGGCCTGGTTCTGAATGGAGTGATCACAAACACCTTGAAACTTGTGATTGGAAGGTAAGTCAGGACACGCATGGCCCAAAAACAATTTTGCTGGAGCAGTAGTGCAGCATGTTATGTCGCACACTGCATGGCCTGAGCATCCTGAAGATTTAATTTACCGTTTGGGGATTTCAAAACTCTGTGTGCAGCATCTTGGCTCACCGCCAGAGTAAGCTCTGAAACCGTTCCCCTGTAATGTGGTGTTCCAGCATCTTGGCTCAAGCAAGTCACCAGCAAGTGGGCTTCTGAGTTGTCCAGCGTTATCTGAGGAAAGGCACAGTTACTTTCTTGTGCCTGAGCTTGATTCTGGTCATTAAGCTTTACTGACAGGCAATGGAACTGATGCCACCCTCATCTCGCTTCCCCCCGTGATATGTGACACTCCTTTCCGAAAACCATCCCAAACCCTTGCACACAAAGGCCTCGGGAAAAGTTGAAGTTCTGCTCGGCCCTTGCTCACCTTTGGTTTTCTGACTCGCTGTGTTTTTGTTTCAGAAGGACCATTCTTTGAGCCTCTCTGGGAAAAGAGCAATTTCTTGAGGTGTGATCCTTTATGTATACCCTTGGCCCTTCCAAAAGCCACTTGGTTGGGTGTAGGTGTCTCCTCAGACACTGTCCATCCACTCTGTGTTGTCACAGTCCTCACACCCATGTCTATATTTTTCAGTGATGCTGTGTCGCAGGTCTATTGATGCGCTTTCAGAACTGAAGTTCCTGAAACTAGAGACAAACTGTGTTCTGACTGAGAATGACTGACTACAGTTCTGTGACAGAGTGTCATTAGTTGCCTGGTTGTGACAGTTGTCCTTTGAGACAATCCCAGCACCTTACCCTGCTCAGCGACCAGTTCGTGGTATTTCTCCCAACCTTTACAGACCAGGAGAGTTCCACCAGAACGCTTCGATCCCTCGCTCCCGTTGTGTCTGTGCAGGGCTGTGGAGTGTTTAACAGACTGAGAGGTACAGCGCTGCGTTTGTTCAGTGTTTGCATTTACTCGAGTGTTTGGAGTCTGGAATGTAGTGCCTGAGGGTGTGTGGGGGGAGGCGGGCTCCCTCGAGTGGGTAGGGTCTGGAATGTACTGTCTGTGAGTGTGTGGGGGGAGGCGGGTTCACTCGAGTGGTTAGGGTCTGGAATGTACTGTCTGAGGGTGTG